CTCATGATTATTAAATCACTGTGGAAATAGGAATTGTTTTTAAGTTAGCTGGGAAATAAACATTCCTCAAAATTAAAGTAATAAAATATAGCAGCATACCTTGCCTTTCTGGTATCCTACACAGATAAGCTGAAATTCTGTTCAAATGTTCAATTGAAACAGACAGTTTCTATTCGCAGTATCACCCAGGGAGTTAAAACACTTAGGCACCTTCACTCTTCCCGAAAACAAAAAATCAAATGAATGCAGTCTCATCATGCAGCAGAGGAGCCACTCATCCTGCCTGCACCCAGCACATGGCAATTTCACAGTGTCACTGTGTGCTCCCAAAGCAAAGGAAAAGCAGACCCTCAACACCAATAAACATCAGTTAGTTCTGGGTCCTGGTGCCAGAAGAACTTCTGGGGTTTCTTTGGAATCTTATATTCTAGAGCCACCCTAGAGGAAACCAGGAATTCACCTCCCATTCTGCTGCCCCATCACCCAGCCACCCCCATCATTCCTTTGTGGGCATTTTCCTGAAGGCCAAGGAAAGTGTGATCCTTTCTGGCACACTGGCTGGTGAGGGCACAGAGGGCACACATCTGCCACTGGCAGCCCCTAGTTTGACAATGAAAGTGCTCCCTTTGGACACAGGGCTTTGAGGCACTGCATTTCCCACGTGCATGGAAATGATATCATAGCATAGCATAGGATATAATTTCTTGTCAGGTGCTGTGGAGGGCACTTTAAAGATCAAGTCCATCAAAGGCCCTCTAGAAACAGCACTGGCATAATCATACTGCATCACGGTGGAAGAAAAGGGATAGAAGACTTCTTGATGTCACTTTGTTTTACTCCAGTGTCTAGTGTGTCTCACACAATTTGCGAAGCACTTTCCAAGGGCAGACTGGATGCATTTGGAAATGCCCCTCTGTCCTGGCATTCCAAAGAGAGAGTCAGAAATAAGGCATCTATGCTCTGACTGAGAACTTGGAACTACAAACATCCATTCCTGATGTAAGAACCCAGCTCTGCATTTTGAAATGAAAATACACTGTGCTTTCTGAGACTTGGTTGTGTCACACTTCACCACACTCTACAACTGAGCTCAAAGACTTTGTGAAAATAGACAAAGACAACAAATTCAGTCCTTAGCTTCTTGAGAGCTGCACTGTAGCAGATAGGGCCTGGCGTTCGGAAGATCTCGTGATGTTATGGGAAGACAGGGCCCCTGCCCCCTTAGATAAGAAAATTAACATAGGAATGTAGCCCCCTAAACCAGATTCCGGTAACTTTCCACTTGCCCAGGTAACTTTCCATCCCTACTAACCATAGATGGTAAGGACAGACCCTCACCTGACGTATAAGCCCCCTAGACTATAAAACCCCACGGGAAGAGAGAATAAAGGCCTTTGATCCTCCACCATATTGGTGTCCGCGTGTTTCTTAGGCCCGAGCGACCCTGGGGAAATGGGTCGCCGTGCTGTTTCCTGAAACCAGGCCGCCTGCCTTGTATCAGAAGGCAACACTGCACTGGTGTTCACAGCTGATTGTACAGATTTTCTTGACTACCTCTATAGTAAGAATCAAACCAAGAACTTTTTACAATGAGGATTCTCAGGTATTGGAGCAGGTTACCCAGAGAAGTTGTGGAGGATCCACCATTGAAGATGTTCAAAACTGAACTGGACAATGTCCTGAGCAATCTGCTCTAGTTGACCCTTCAGAAGGACAGGGTGGACTAGATTCCTAGACAGCTCTCCAACTGGAATGATTCAGGGAAATTTATTTTGCTTTGCAATTAATTATGATATTTTGATTTCCTATTTTTTCATGAAAGCAGACAGCTAAGGAATGAAAAGTGGCAGTATTAACATGACTTGAAATAAAACATGAAAAAATTGTAATTTCTCTTGTGTAAACTAAACCTTCCAAACAATAGCATATCCAAGCTAGAATTCCTGACAAGGTTTTCAAGAAATTGGGAAAACTTATATGAAATGCTATCTCATGGCATTTCATTTCAAATAACATAGAATGTAATTTGAAAGATCTGCAAAAGATCTTTGCAGTTGTATACGGAAATTATTTTAGGCTAAAGGGATTTATTGAAAGGACAGAAATCACAAAGATATTTTCTACCTATGAAACACAAAGTAGATAGAGATTTTTAATTAAATGTATGCTTGGAAATAAATACTCACAGAGCTGAGAAAGTAAAAAGTGCTAAATTTGTTGACATCCCTTCCTCCTTATTTCATAATAATTTACACGTCACAGGTTTATTTTAAGACTACATTTACCACCCAGATAACTAAGCATGAGTTAGCAAAGCATGAACATGAGTCAACAACACAGCCTTGTGGAGGCGACAGCCAACAACATTGGGGGCTGCATTAGCAAGATAGTAGCCAGCGCTTTAAAGAAAATCATTATCTTCCTCCTTTCAGCAGACCTCATCATCACTGTTTGCCACTGTCATTTTAAGACAGAGGTGCCACAGACTCCCTGAGGATGGGCCCAGCCATGCTCAGGTTGGATCCTGCTGGCATTGGCTGTGACCAGCTGAGGCCAGGCCTGGTTTCTCCTCACAGAGGCCACCCCTGCAGGCCCTCTACCAAACCTTAACATTTATGAGAGAAAAGTCACGATGAAGTAGTCAAATACTGAGGCAGGTTGCCCAGAGGCTGTAATATGTACCCTTGGAGGTAAGTCCAACTCATCTGGGCAAAGCCCTGAGTGACCTGGCCTAGCACCCACAGCAGCCCTGCTCTGAGCAGGGCACATGTGAGATGAGTGACAAAGGATCCTTCCAACCCAAGTTACTCCATGATTCTACAAAACTGTTGGAATCACTTCTAGGCTCAGTAAATGTTTGAAAGACACAAAAATACAGAGACCAAGCAGAAAATGTTTTCTAGCATTACTGCTAGCAAGGGGACAGGTTTACCTTTCAGAATAAATAAATATTACCACAGAGTTTGTGACCAGAGATAGCAGGCAGCCACGGGCAGAACAGAAGAAGAGCCCTGCTCCAAGTAGAGGGAAATGGAGGCTGAAGGGGCAAACTGAAGAAGAGTTTTCAAACAAAAAAATAAAAGACTGTGAAGCAGGGAGCTTCACCAATGAGGCACATGTTCATTTTTAATTTTGAACACTGAGCAGAAGGTCACACATGCAAGAAACTGCATTTGCTCTCCCTATCCTGGTGTTCCTCAGCTAGGAGCTGGCTCAGCCCTGGAGCCATTGTGACACTTAGGCCACAACCAAAGTCAGGTCTGTATTTGTGAGCCTGCCTGGGTTTTTCCTAAAAGACACCTGGGCTGAATTATTCTTCTTGCTTCTTGCAAGGTAAAGACGCCTCAGAGACAGACAGTGGAACATGCTGTAGAAGAGAGAAGGTTCTGGTGCTGCAGTTTTGGAGTAGGGTTGAGCCTGGGTCTCCTGCTCTCTTGAGAAATGATCTGACCTTGAGTGCTGTCCAACAGAGACACAACTCAGTCACCTGAATGGTGAACAATCTGCTTGTTATTTTGCTTTTCAGGTTTTTCTGTTATAGCTGCTCTTGCCTGATTTATGTGGACTTCAGGTGGGATGTGTCAGGCATAGTCTGACAACACCTAGAGATAAGGCCACTAGGAATATTAGAAATTAATTGATTACAGGGCTGGGTCCCTGCAGATCTTGAAAAGAGGAAAACACAACCCACTTAAATGTGAGGCACCAGCTATCCCTGTCAGCTGTCTTCTCAGGCATGTCAAGGATCTATCAGCTTGTTTGACCATCCAAATAAAATGTCCCAACAATGGAGGTCCCCATCTTTCTTCACTTGCACCACCATTCAGTGGATTTTTTCCACAGGATGATGAACAGTAATTGAAGTCTTTTGTCTTTTCTCTTGTACTTGCTTCAATCAAGGTGAGATTGATTCCAATAGGGATAGACTCTAGCTCCTATATACAATTAAATCATAATGATAAGTGCATAATTAAATAATAACAAGATACAACAGGAGCTGAATAAAATAATATCTTATAATTTCAACAAACAAATATAACGGTAATTACATAAACCTATTGTAAGGTTGTCTACAAGTACAAAGTCACAATAGGTTCTCAAACAGGCATATCCATTCCCTCAGAGTATTCCCTCCAGGGGATAGTCTACAGCTCTATTGTGATTTAATTCTGACACAATGATTGAGTATATAGTATATACCATAGCATTGTGCATTGTTAAAACAAAAACTGTGCCTTTACTGCTGGTTAGATTATAAATGAAATTAACTAGGTAACACCAAGAGTGGAACTTGCATTATGTCAAGTTGCCTTTTGAATTTCAGTGGGCAAATTGCTTTCATCTCCTTTATCATTTCTGCTGCAGTAAATTGCACTCACAACTGAGAAGCATGTGTGGTGCAGAATATCCTAGAGTCACCATACTGATTGGCACAAATAAAGAAGTGACAGTGTTGCGTTCCAATGTGGGAAACTGCAAGGAGTTGTTTTAAAAATAGATGGTCAGGAACAAAATTAAGCCAAACGAGGCAAACATTGTGTCTGAGAACCGTTTGTTGGTAATGAAACAAGTAAAAAGGGGTTACCCTACTAAAGAGGGCTAGAGAAGACAGAGCAGGAGAAAGAAAAATGGGAGGGAGACGGGGAAAGAGGGAGAGAGAGAGGAGACAGAGGGAAAAAGAGGGCATTATTACCACCAGAGGTCGGGGAGCACCTGGACATCCACGAGGCGGGGGCTGTGCAGGCTGCCTGCTGGGAACAGCCCCCATGGCAATGGGACACCGGACACGCGGTGCGGGGCGCTCAGACAGGAGGTGCAGAGGCCTGGACAGGATCGCAATGAGGACCACAGTGGTGGGCAGGCTTGGAGGCAGGCAAGGCTGGATGCAGGGGGCTCAGGCAGGGACGCAGAGACGAAGCAGGCAGAGGGTCGGTCAGGGACACAGAGAGGTGGGACAGACATGAGGGAGAGCAAGAGCCAGCAAGGGCAGAAGAGCCAAAATGCAGGACTCCAAAAGCAAGTTCAAAAAGCTTGCAAAGAGTAAGCCAAAGGACACAACAGCTCCCAAAGAGCCCCCAAAGCTTGTGATGCAGTTATTTTTATGGCCCTGGCTCCTCCCCAAAACTGCATGGTCACAAGAGACCACTGGCCCAGTCCAATGTCCCACTGCAGTCCTTTGGCAGAGAGCTTTTGCCATCTGACTGCAGAGTGTCTCTGGGGTACAGCATCTTTGATGTTCCCCTGCTGACTGCCTGTCCCAGGTGAGACATGACATGGTTGCCAGGCAAAGTCTCCCCAGATACAAGGCTTTGCTCCATCTTCTCCTAGCTGCCTCCTGGACATGGCACACATGCATCCCTCCCCCATGTGCCCCTGACAACCATTGGTGAGGCATAGCAAAACTGAACTGGCTCCTCACAGAGGGCCTCCACCTTGTGGGTTGAGTTTGTTTATGTGTGAACCAAATTTAGTTTGTGCTGGTAATGATTGCTCCAGAAAGAAGGATAACTAGTCCTTCGATGATTAGTTTGATCTTCAGATGCATGGCATCATTATCAGTATCATTCCTAGGAAGAGAAAACAATATGAGTCCTGGAGTGGTTAGTCCAAACAGTGGCTCAAGGTGTTGAACAGCTTGGGTTGGTGACACAAGTCTTTTCCCACTCAGGATATCTCTGCTCTGTCTCTTTAAATGCAGCTGAGTTGAGCAGTAAAGATCACTTTGGTCTGTCAGGGACAGTTTGGCCTTAACATTCCTCAGGTAGAATCTCAGCTTTCAATTCATTGAGTGCTTGCCATACTACTGTTGCTGCTTCCTCCGCCTTTTTGGTGGACGGCTCCGGCGATTATAGTTACCCTCCATAAGTGGGATCCCCTCTGAATTTGCCTTACCAGTTTTGCAAAATTTAGAACAGCAGTGGTTAAAGGCATGGAATATCAAAACCCAGAATGTTTTCAATACGAATTTTAATTGAAGAGTGAGAAGCTGACATCAGCTTCTCGATACCTCCTCCTCTTGTTTTTCCCAATCGCGCTCCGCAAGCATTGCCTCTGCCTGTGCTCACCTGTTGTTGTTATATTTCTAGAGTCCCATACCTTGGTTTGGTGTTTTCTTATGGCTGTAGATCTTCACATCACTGACTCCTTCTTCTGCATGTTGTTCCTTCTTAGCCAGGACTCCTCTCTGGCCAACCCACCCCCTTTTATCCCAGCTACCTTCACTAGCCACAGCTGCAGCCCAATGAAGGACATCACAGCTGCAGCCCATCAAGATCGACTGGGACATACTGGGGCAAGGCCTATATACAGATATTGAAGTACAATACAGATATTTTACTGGGACTCAAAGGCCACCTCTACTATACTCATCGTCCCTTTCCTGACCCTGCTGAGCTGCGAGCAGCCCCTGTGCCTGCAGCTTCTTGGAGCGCTCCAAGCAATGCATCCGCCAGCAGCCTCTCTTCCTTCTCCTGCTGGCGCTCAGCGGTGAGCAGCCTGCAGCCTACTCTCCCTTTCCCTATCGCACTCACAGCAAGCAACACTTGCTACCGAAGCCTATTTCCTCTCTCATTTAACTGATCCTGCAGTCCTTTCACCAAACCCTGCTGAGACGCAATCATTTCTCCCCTGCCTGTTTGTTGGCATACCTTTCCTTTTGGGCAAAAAATAGCAGATAAAACGGCTTTACTTTCCCCCTTCCATACCTTTTACCACATTTATCCATTTAAGCCCTGCCTCAGCGCTATTTGAATTAGCACATACTACGCCTGGGGAAGTTGGACACACCTTATATTCTTCCCATCACTACCTGGCTGTAATTAATGGGTATGGCATTCTGCCCATGACATCAAAAAAGGGATGGCACACCCTTAATGTGAAGGGAGCAGCCATGATTTGTAAATGCTCATGGTTGAAAGAAACTACAAAAATTGGAGGGTCCACAAAAAATCACAAAGTTTTATTATACATTTGGCATGGAAATTGGAGTGCTAGTCCTTGAGCTACTATAAAGGAAGGAAGGAAGGAAGGAAGGAAGGAAGGAAGGAAGGAAGGAAGGAAGGAAGGAAGGAAGGAAGGAAGGAAGGAAGGAAGGAAGGAAGGCAGGCCAAACAGTAATTCACTGGAATCTCATTTTGAAACTTCCACCAAATGCAACATAACAACAAAGAGAGATTGTGCCTTCATCCAAAAAATACAAGAAACCTTGACTTGCTGGAAGTCCTATGACCAGTTCCTGGCCCTGCTCCAAGGAGTATATTTTATCTTATTAGAACTTAATATAAAGTGCATGAATAGGCCAGGCAACAGGGATAAGCATTTAGATTCTGGGAGAAGACTGGCATGCACTACCCGCTTGAACACCACTCTGAACTGAGAGTTGGTGGAGCCATCTTTCCAAGCTGTCAGGCAGATTCCCAAGCCTCAGTTTACCTAAAGGCATCCGCCTGTGCCCAGTGGGTACCCTGACTGGGTAGCTACTGCCACCAGGCCAGTTCCTTGGTTTCAACAAGTTAGGAGCTAAAGAAAATAGCTTCTAAGTGTCTGTCTGAGAAATACCTGTCTCAGAAAACCTGCGCATGGAAAAAGGAATCACCAGGATCCAACCTGCCCTAAGTGCTGATTGCAGCAGGAGATATATAACCTTGCTCAGAGCCTGGCTGGCTCCTTTATACTCACAGGTGTGTCAAGCCTGTCTTCCCTAGATGGGATTGAAGAAATACCTACAATTTTCTGCAAGTACTTGCAGAAGAGAGTTGCTTCTCTCAGAGGCAAGAAGTGCCTGCCTGTGACACCTCTCTAGTAATGTCACATCTTAGCTTAATGTTCTCAGCCTGAAACCACTCAAATCACTGCCACCAGTGTCAAGAACACCAGGCTGCAAGACAGTTTTTGGACTTGGAAAGATTCTTTCTATCATTGCTACTGCATAAAGTTCTGGCATATCACACCAGTGGTACTCCTGTGACTTGCCAATTGGAATAGCTAACCCTTGTTTCAAAGTCTTTTATTTCTTCTGCTATCACTTTTCTGTTTTCAAAACGAGTACGCTGAGAGATACAAATCACCACTGTCTGTGTTTTGCTCTCAGATGGAAGAATAATGCATAGTAGTGAAGCAGCGACTGCAGCAGCTTCGGGGAAAACGCTGAAAAAGCCGATGACGTCTGCAGGCTGAAGGGAAGGCACGGGGCCGTGCCGGGAAGCGGCCGGGTCACCACGGAGCCAAAGGCGGGATCCGGGCAGCGGTTCAGCACGGTGGGCGCTGCAAACGAGCTGAAACCCGCGGAGCCAGA